ACTAGCCGCACATGGCATAGGTAATTTAATTGCGATCGCGGAAGAGAGCGAAAGCGTGCCCGCGGCCCCGTCCCGATGCGTTGGAGGAACAGACAGGTTTAGTGGGTATGCCTCCGTTATAGAGGAGAATCCCACATAACTACCGCATACCCCCCAGGGCGCGGAGTATGCATAAAGCATTCCTCTCTGGAAAAAAAGGTAATTTAATTGCAGAGCCAAAAACAAAAAATCGTCAAACTTACCCATTATTGGGACATTCAAAACAAAGCGCGCAACTTGAGAATTGCTCGGGAGTTGAGGATTTGCCATACCTGGACGCATCCTAACAAACCAATCTATCAAGTGTTTTAATCCATGGGACTCGAAGATACATTTTTTGAAGAAGAAATTTTATGAAAGAGTTTACTCATTGTACTAGACATGCAAGAAGTTTTAAAGATAATTGATATTCACACCCTTAAAAATATTAAGTTACAAAATATCAGTATAATCTGATTTGTACAAACTCTAGCCTTTACTTGAACTCTGTGAGCTAGTGTTGTGCGCTTCGTAACTCACAGAGGGGCTGCCTCATACCAAATTGTCATCATTCAAAGTGGTTTTACGCAACTTTATAAAAACAAATAAAATAAACCTGTAAGCCCTGACTTATTAAAGTTTATACCTGTGGCGGATCGAACGCCAACAGCGCCCTAGGCGCCATTTCTACGGCGCTGTGCTCCCTAATTTTTACAACTTTTTTTTGTCCAGTGCTATCGAAATCGGAAAAGATATATAGATATAGATATAAGATATATTAATAAGCTATTCAGAGATATGAGGATATTGGCTTACATTTTTTGTTTTCTATAATCGCTTGGCTATACTGAATAAATTAATGCATTATTATGTTGTTCGGACACAATTAGTAACGCAGTGTTGCGATATCAATAATGGCGAGCAAGTTAATTACCGAATTACTCGTACATAACTTAGTATGATGAAACACTTTTATGTTGTGCAAATCGTGGATTACAGAATTTCTAAATAACTTAATTTAAGTTATATCTAACGGCCAATATATTTTTATTGTATTATACTATTTTAGAATATTTGGAAGCAAAGTGACCATCTATGTGGCGAATATTTTTCCAATACATTGTCAACTAAGCGATAAACATAGTCATCTAAATATCAAGATATTTTTGAAGTCCACGCTTAATTTAGTAAATGGTAAAAGTCAAAATTCAAGGTGAGCGAGTGAGTGACACGGCATCCGGTTCGTTGAAAATCTACGTATTTTATTTCGATATTATTATGCATGCCTTTAAGTATCTCAAATGCTTTAAGTGTTTAACTAGTGAATGCCCGTCACTTTGTTAGCGCGGAAAAAAAAAATCCTAAGTTACTCGCGCACACAACCTTCCTTCTTTCCAGTAAAAGCCTCAACCAAATATGACCAGCGGTTTCGGAGATTACCCGGACAAACGTGAATTTGCAAGCACACAGACAAAAATTTGAAAACCATTTTTTTTTGGTACATAATATTCGCAAAATATGTTTTTATTTATCGATAATACTATCGATGCTAAATATCAGCGAGATCCATGCAGCCGTTCTGGAGATACTTCTAACCAACATCCATCCATCCATATATCCAAACATCGCCTTTATTATATTACTAACATTATTAAAGAAGAATTAAACCAGCGCCTGATATTAATTTACTAGCAAATGTAGTAAATTATACTTTTTGCATAAAAATTCATAAATATGACAACTCTTCGATCAAATAGAAATTTGTTATCGTTCATCAGACAGCCAATCTCTACAAATCCATACAATATCAATATATGAGTGAGACACAAATAAACAGTTAGATTGACAGTGACATAATCCTGCTATGATAAGTTGCCATGTTGGTTGCTCTCTGATAAAGTTAACGAAACTTGATAACTTCGAAGAAAAATGTTTTGTATTGAGTTTTGTGGCGTTATCATGGTGAACATGGTGCATGCTTTTCACTCACACAATTAACATTTGACTGTATAGTACAGTACAGCATAGTAAGTAAAATTCCTGAATTTGATTGTTAAGTTAATCCTCTATCGTTGCATATTCTTTGTCTTTGGTTTTTTGGCGTGGGATTCGCCATTTTGTTGACGGTCTTTTTTATAAGGCATTGATAATAGTGAGAAAAGTAAATAAAAAAATCCACCAAAATGAATGGTAAAGGTGAAACATTCAGTGAAGATATATTTGATTACATTAAAGTAGGCGAAGATGAAGATGACATAAACGCTGTGGAAATTCCTTGTGAGCATGATGGCACTCTACTACTTTCAACGCTTGTAGCGCAGTTCCCAGGAGCGTGTGGACTTAAATACCGACACCCTGAAACAAAGTCAATCAGAGGTATCAGACTAAATGATGGTAAACTGCATCCTCCAACAGAAGCCGGATGGGGCAAAAACTTGTACATTTGTGTATTTCCCAAAGAAAACAAACGTAAGATGGATGATGTATCATCGGAAAATTCAGCAGCAAAAACCAAACGATTAGAGAAAAAACTAACTTGTTCTGATTTGATTTGTCTCGGCTTGCCGTGGAAGTCGACAGAAGAATCGATAAAACAATACTTTGAACAATTTGGTGAAGTTGTAATGGTTCAACTTAAAAAAGATAAGAATGGTTCTTTTAAAGGTTTCGGATTTATACGTTTTGCCACGTATGCTTCGCAAATGAGAGCCTTAGCACAAAGGCATAATATTGACGGCCGTTGGGTTGATGTACGCATCCCTAACTCCAAAGAGGGTGTAGTCCCTCAAATGCCATGTAAAGTTTTTGTGGGCCGTTGTACTGAAGATATGACAGCTGATGATTTACGGGAGTATTTTTCGAGCTTCGGAGAAGTTACAGATGTGTTTGTACCACGTCCATTTAGGGCATTTGGGTTTGTAACATTCTTAGATCCGGAAGTTGCACAAAGCTTGTGTGGCGAAGATCATGTTATAAAAGGTGCTTCAGTGTCAGTGTCAAGTGCAGCTCCCAAAATCAAAAACAAGTCAAACCAAAATTGGAAAGATGACTCATACGGACCAAACTGGGATGGAAATCGATCAGGCCCCTCTGGCGGCCCTAACAATGGAGGTAATAGTAACATAGATTCTCTTAACATGCAAAATTTGGGGATCAACCCTAATGGTGGAGGGCCACCTGCTAATTTTAATTTACCAATAAGTCTTGTCGCTGCGGCCCTTAATCAAGCGGGATGGGGTGGATTTTTAGGCGGTCCTGGTAATTCTGGACCTAACAACTGGCAAGGTGGGCCACCCCAAGGCAACTCTGGCAAACATTGGAATAACAACCAAAACTGGGGTCCAAATGGACCACCACAACCATGGAATCATGGTGGTCCTGGTTGGAATGGTAAAGGAAACTGGAACCAAGGAAACTGGTCAAATGGACCAGGCAATTGGGGAGGTAACAGTGGGGGTGGCTCAGGCCAGTCTGGTTCAGGTAGTGGATGGAATAACAACAAACCGCAAACATGAGGTGAGACTTCCCTATGGCATTAATACCAGAGATGTTTGTATGATAAGATGTATTTTAAGTAAATAGTAATAATATAAAGTGATGGCTTTATCACATCTTCACATACATTTTTATTTTCTTAAATAAAGAAATTGTCTGCATACAATAAGTTGATAAACCAAGTGTGTTATTTTGTGATGTATGATGAGGGACTTTCAATAAATAAAGGTGTATGAAAAATGAGATGGATGTTTTAATTCTGTGAATCTTGGGTGGGAGGATCACAATGTTCATCGTAAGGCATGGTAGTAGTGTTGAAAGAAGTGCACTATAATTTGAACAAAACCCAACAAGTCTGAAAGTAAGTTTGCATTAACTATATGTTGGGTACTGGGTATGGAAGTTAACTTTTGTCAGTGAATGTAGTCCAATTTGCAAATAGAAAAGGATGAGCAGATCCATGCTTTCTGAGTGAGTGAAATGCAAGACAAACCTGCTGCTTGCATCCATCTGCTGAGTATGAAGAGGGCTGCCTTTAGCCTGTACTGCTACTTCAAAGTGGTGAGTGTGAATCGGAATGGTCAGTGATGTCTATTTAAGATTATGTTCCTTTACATTTATTAGTAATTCTACACAGATTGTAATCTCACATTTGTTTCTTATGTTCCATAAATTCTCAAAAACCTTTTTATACATACTATAACAAGTACTTTATCAAGGTATGGAACCTGATACAGCAAGCTTTTACACCTAACTATAATGTGTTACATTTCATATTCATATTGGAATAATTTGAATTTTTCAAAAACTGTCTTGACCATATGTAATTTTACTTAATTTTTTTTAGGTTTGATGAACTGTGACAAGAAGAGGTGATCCGTGAATCAGAAAAACCTTGAACACATTTCATGGTCATATGCACAGGTATATTATTTACAATTTATCATTTCTTATCTAAAGTAAAGATGATGTATTCAGAATGTTGGGTTCAAACTTTAATAATTTTTCCAAGTAACCTCTTTTTAGAGTCAAAATATTGTACTTTTATAGAATTTTTCCCAATAACATTTTGTTACATTTGTATATTATAACTTATCCATACCAAGCCCAAAACATGACACTTTATATATTTTTGTAGTCTCCATATTATGGGTGAGACAAGCAATACATGTGGGGTATTTTTTATCATGCATCATATATTTTAAACTAATATTGATGAAATAGTAAAGGTACTAATGACCTATTTTTAAAATCTTACTGCTTTAATTTTTTAAGTAACTTACCACTAATTATACTATTTTCAGATGGAAAAAGTGACTCAGAGGTAAAAAAACAAAATCTAATTGAAGAATTACTTTGTGCAAATAAAACAGTGATATTTTTTGAATAAAATGTTTATTTACACAGACAATTGTATTTTCTACAGAAAGATTAATCACAACTAAACTCAGTTGCCACAAGTTTGAAACAAAATCAATAAGTATGATTAAATGGCAATTTGTAAAACAACTTGTGGCATATCACAGCAAGCATTTATAAAAATAATCATTTGTCTTCCTTGAAAAATATTATTTTAAACAACATGGACGTCGGGAAATAAAAAATATAACAGAAAACTAAATTAATTTAAAAGCAATTGTAAAAAAACAACACTAGAAGGACTTGTTTTTGTTGACATGTAAATTTTTTGGATATATTATTTTTAGATTTACACATAATGAGATAAACAACCCATAGACTTCTTGTTTCTTAATCAATTATTTGAGATAAAGGTTAGATTGAAAACACCTCTGTGTACAGTGTGTAAGATATATACAATAAATAAGATGCCAATGCAAGAATTGTACATTTTGTTGGTAGGAATGATACCAGTTATAGCAGTTACATTATAATAACACAGTTGTAATCTGATCTAGTATTGTCTTTCTGAGTGTTGTGATGATAAAATCAGCATGACTTAATCGCAAAAGTCTTTTCTACAAGTAGTTTTCCATGCCAAGTTGCACATAAAATAATGTCTATAATACTGAACTTTTTAATGGTGGGTAAAAAGCTGCCATCAAATGAATCATTACAAATATCCGATGCAATAATGACAATTTGAAGATTTATAGTTAAAAATGGAAAATAAGATGCAAGTTATTGTTCATAACCAGAACTTCAATGAATCACTGAAGTGACACTTGTATTTTCCTGTTCATCCCTTTCAACAAAAGAGAGGATAAAAGATGTACTATTACAAGTGTTAATGCTCTAGATATGATGTGTAAATAATGCCCTCAACTGGTTAAAAGTCCAAGTCACATAGTTCATTGTGCTGCGGCTCAACAACTAAAGTGGCTGCTCACAGTTCATTGTGATGTACTTACTATGTGAGCCAAGAAGCTGCTTCGTGACTCACAGTTTGCAGCTCGAAATGCAAACGACAACTCTACAGGTAAAATTGTTGAACTGTGAACCGGCTCACTAATCTGCTTCATACATAGGATCTGTAGGTTATCAAGAGTTACCCATGACTACAATGCACTCTTAAGAAACTGGACTTGCAAAGAGGGTTTTCCAATTTACACAAATATTTTCTTAGCCTGTAAATGGCGCTATTAACTTTATTACAAATGCGATATCCTTGTATTATAAAATATAAACATATACAATTTTATTGGTTCTGGACTGAAATCATAAGTTAACTTCTAAAATAATTCGTAAGGTTTGCTTTTTATGGCCATGTTGTCTGAGTATTTAATAATTAACAAAGGGAATTATTTGTTTGTTTAAATTGTGAAATCAATGGCAATGGCAAAATAAAACTAATGTTTTTCTTCCACATGCAAGTTTTTGTGTAAAGTACATTTAACAAAAATGGATTCTCACATATTAGGAAAGTCAATACCAATTGATTTGCTCAAATCCAAGATGACCACATCCTATTCAAAAATTATTGCAAATAATTTGCATTTTAAAGCATTCTTATTCTCAGATTATAGATATTTTAAAACTAGTATTTTTTGTTGAATTTACAAAATATGCATAATATCAACGGCAGGATTATCAATACACGATTATAATTACTAATGAGATAATTGAGTTTTTAGGGCATCATGCATTTATATAAAATTTACATTAATTAAAACGATAGTAAAACTAAACCTTTAGTTTTTTGGCGGGTCTGAGGGCATATGCGAGAGTGACCTGGCGCTTGCTGGCGGCGCGCCGCGGTTGCCGGCGCCCGTTCCACTCCGCCTCCATCTTTTGCGCCAGTTCAAAGTCGGTCTTTTCTTGTTCGATCAGCTTCTCGATCCTCAACTGTTCCCGCAGTATATTTTTAACATCACAATTCTCCAATGGACTAGACAAGTTCTTTACAGCTAAATTTATTTTGTTATTATTAATAGTTTCATTAACTAGAGGTGGGCTATCAATCTCACTTTTTGTATTTGGTTTTTTTGCATAACTTCGCAAATAAACTTTTCTATCGGAAGACACCTTCCTATCTTTAAGCTTTTTCTTCGGTGTAACTTCGTTTTCGTCTTTTGATATACTTCCCATGGACCGGGTGCGTCGTAAAGATTTTTCGGCGTTCAATTTTCTTATACCATCGACTTTTACTGCTTGCTGTTTCCGATTTGGAACATTTCTTTTAATAGTATTCAATTCTTCCGGAGTGACACTAGGACTTACTATATTTTTTTTGTTTCGTGACCTTGATACTCCTTTCTTAGGCGTTTCCTACGAAGAAAAAGAAAATTAACAAAAAAAATATATGTGACAATTATAAAATAACTTAAGCTTATACATACCTTCTTTACTCTTAAAATGCTAAGTGCAATAACAAATGCAGAAGGTAGTTTCTGCTCTAAGGATATATTTCTGAGGCGGCATAAGCCTTCTAAATATTGGTCTCGGCTTGGAGGACCTCCCAGTTCTAGTGGAGTATTTTCTTGTTCGGCTCGCATACTTGGCACGCGCAACGGAAAACTTTTATTAGGGCTGAAACTAATAGAAAAGACCTGGTAAAACAGTCTCTTTTTTTAAATAAGCAAACTACCAATATTTTGACCTAAAATTTTATAATAATATAAGATGTTTAGCTAATCTGAACTTTGGAAGTGTGAAAATGGTTGCATTATACAAAATCTTACTTACCTGGTGGGTGTTGATCCATCAATAGGTTTGAAATAACATAATTCTTGTTGCATTGAGTCAACACTGCCCGTTTCTAAATGTCTATTTTCTACATTATTTTTATGTTGTAATATTCCAGTATATGGCAGTGGTAGTGATACTAATAATGATTGTATCATACTTTTAGATTTTGAGGCATTTTTATCTTGCGGTGGGTCAGATTCTTTGTTACTACTAGAACTTTCAATAGGTTGTGTTGTCTGAAATATAACATGAGTATTAAAAAAAATAAATAGAAACTACACATACAATACAATTTCATTAACAAGATTATGGTACCTTTGTGGCATTTTCACCATTCTCCTTATTCCAAACACCAACACCATTTTTCATTTTTCTTTCCAAAAAACTTTTCAAGAGCTTTCCATAGTTGGGAAGCATTTCCGGTGAAGGCCTATTGTTGGATTTATGAGCAGACTTTCTCTGTGAAGTTCCATCATTGCTTTGATTGTCATCAGCTGATAATGGACTCCTGTAAAATTTTTATATCTATAAATGTTAATTATCTCCCATTTAAAATATCCTACCTAAACCAAAATGTCCAGTGTTAAAAGGTAGTGTTTTTGTTCACCATTATTTATTATGTGTACAGTGACTTACAAGAAAAGAAGTAAATTTAACTTTTTATTTCTGCTTATTATAATATGATAGTTAACAAAGGACTCTGCATAATTGAAGCACACTGAGCCATCTGTGAATCAGTTATATTTGGAAATATTTAAAACTTTATTACTATAAAAATGAACATACTCCTTTACAGGTGCTTGTATTTTTGATAAATAGGTATCTATCTTTCTAGCCTTAAGTCTTGGTTTTGTAGGAACATCTTTAGAGCAATCTTTCTTATTAATCTCAAGAACTGTAGCTTCAGCAGTATCTTGCATTTGTTTTGCTAACATCTCATCTTGTTTTATCCTCTCCATATATTTTTGTTCAGCTTCAAGCTCTTCAGCTTGTAGTTTTCTGTAATAGATAGTAATTATAGCAATCAGAATGTATAAATTCCTGATTTTTTTCTCTTAGTAATATACTCTATAAAGTGCACTAACATTTGTAAAACTAGTTTACAAACGTTAGTAAGTGGACATATTAGTTAAAGTTTAGAACATGTGTATAGTCATTAGATATATTGAACAATTTTACATTCATAAACATCAAAAACCCACTTAATGAGAAGTTCTGTTTCTGCCAAGTGTTTCTGTTCAAGTCTAAGACGTTCAGACCTCAATCTCTTCAATTCTGCTTCATATTCTAGTCTAATTTCTCCCGGTGCACTCAATCGTGGTATTGGTATTTCTGGAATTGATATAAAGACTGTTAGTATTCATTCGTCCTACAACTCTAAAATCATACTAGCAAATCGTTTTAATTACGCGATTTTCGGCTTGTACATTAAAATAAATAATACAGCTTTAGTATTTTTATCTACAGAGCAACTTACCTTCGGGTATATTAATGTCATCCCCATTTATTTTTTTGTCTACTTCACGTGAAAATTTATTTTTGATGTATTCCCAAAGTTCTAAATTAACTAAATTCTTTTGTTTTGTTGCTGATCTTAGCCAAGAGCCAATGCGTAAACGACATAGAGGACAACACAAAGAATTATTTTCTATGCTACCATTAAAACAACTTTGACAAAAATCATGATAACATGGTAACGTAACAGGTTCTACAAGTATGGAGTGACAAATTGAACAAACAACATCATTAATTTCTAATTTTTCCAATTTTAGTAATTTATTTTCAATTTTAGACAGCCGCTTCTTTGACTTGGCCGCCATTTTTGACATTGTTTTCCATTTTGTCTTTGATTTTGTCCCTATTACCAAAGAGCAATCAATCAAAACCCATAGATATGCGGATCAAAGAGTAAAGGGGGCAAGGTATTAAAAGACTTCTCTAAAAAACCACAAAAAACCTTAAATTCAGTCGCCTATGGTTATTTCCTTATGTAAATGCAAAGCAAACTTTTTAATTTGTTTAAATTATTTGTGACTGTTTGAATAGGAAAGGCACCTAGAGTTTTCACACATTTCAAATAGAACAATTTGCTTTATTTTAAGGTATCACAAAGCTGCTAATGAAACATGAATAAAACGATAATGTTACTTAAAATCTAGTTTAGTTTGATTTTAAACCCTATACATCTACTTGAACAATCTACATTAAAAACTGCACAATGAACGTTCTTTTTCAAGAATTTAGAAGCGATTTTTATAGTTCTTATATTGGCTATGTCGGTAAAAACTTCACATTTCAAGATAGCCAACATTACAGACGTAGAAGCCATGTTGATATTTTCTTTCTTTTTTCGTCATGTACCGACTCACATGTATTTGAGAACGAAAAACGATTACTAGTGGAATCAAGAATCACAAGAAATAAAATATGGTGGTTGTTGGAAGTTTTTAGATGGTGGTGTTCTTTTGTTCTAAAAACTTTAGTGGTGGATTCTAATGTTGAAGTGCACATTGTTCAATTACTAAAAACATAAGACAAAACGTCTTACGGAAATGTCTTCTATGCATTTTGTGGTTCATCCTTTGCCTGGGACAGAGGATCAATTGATAGACAGGTACGCCTATTATTTCTAATTTTTGTCAAACTCCATTACATATAATAATCCGACAATTTCTATGCTTGGTGATAAGTAACAAAAAGATAGATCGATGGTTAACAACAATACCTTTCTTAACTTTATGAAAGGAATTATCGTTTCTTTAGGCTTCTAGAAATATTCCGATATGTTTTTTCGCTTAATGTCCAATACAATTTTCAAAATTCTATTGAAACCATTAGATTTTTAAGATCCCTAATGGCGTAATCTGAATCGTCTTGACACGATGCCATGATCAATTTGCGAACCCCAGGTATCCTAGAAAAATATATAAAACATTTTTATTAAAAATCATTAAATACTTGTTACATGTTGCGTTATAGACTATTATTTCTTAATACACCTACAAAGTCCTTACTATTTACGCTTGTTCGGCTATTTTCGATTTTTTTGTTTATGTAATATCTTTAATCACAATAATTATATGTTTTCTTATTATGTACTTGTTCTTTATTTAGAAGTCGACAGTCGGATAAATAGCAATAATATGATAACTAATGACGTCGTAAAGGAAAATATATCCTACATCATTATTTAAAAAATACCTACCTTTATTTTATTGATTAAAACATAAGTAATCTAGAATACATAAAATGCTTTCCTACATTTTACACTGCCTAGAAAGATTTGAAAAAACTTATGTTTATTACATTTAATGTGTCATTTTTTTAAAACATCAATTACCTTCATCATATGAATGTTATTCTTGTACATTTCTATTACAATAGAAATACCAGATTTTTACTTTTAACCTATTTAATACTCTTTTTAGTATTAATACTCTTGTAACTAAAAATCATCATTGATGACATTCTCTCATTTTCGACGATTAAACAAATGTTATTAATAAACAATTTTAAACTTTACTGGTGACAAACAGATTAAATCACAGTATATAAAACAAATGGCCACTTATCCAAACTACTGTGCTTGTGTGCCTACTGGCATCTGATTCAAAAATAAGCAATGATTACTGCCTTAGTATGTGCTAATGTACTTAACTTTTGCCAAATGCCCATGCTTGTATAATTGTCTAAATAGTAAAGGCAAAAAAACCACATTGTTGCAAACATGTATATTTATGGTTCATACTCTAATATGGAGCGCCTATTATTTACCCTTCACAAAAGAGTTCTTAGATGTATATTACAATATTTAATAGTTTAGTAGGGCTTAATAGGGTTTGTCCTTAAAAGTTTGGGTACTAGCCTTTTAGTTTTCATTCACTTGTATGTAAATATTTAGGTATAACAGAGTCAATACGGATCGATTATCCAAAAAAAAAAATGGTTTTCCTAATACCCATGCCCCCATTGGCTTGTACAATCCACCATGTATTGTTTTTATTTTCAATCAATATGATTAACTTCATTACCAACTTTCTAATTGGTTTTGAAAAAAACATCTTGATTGGGCATTTTATACATCATCTAAATGTTCAAATTTTTACTTTTTTTATATCATAATATGGCAAATGAGCAAGCGGCAATCTTAATTCACAGGAATAGCAAAGCATATCCTTCATATAGACACCTGCAATTGCAGATGTGTTGTTTACCTTTAATTGATAGAGAAGGGAATGCATAGAGAGATATTTCCTCTTCCTATACTTCCCTCCTCCCCCTACTTCTCAAAATGTTTTTGCAATCGAAATAAATGTTAATCTGAGGGTGAGACAGTGTAAATAACATGAACATCTGGAATGTTTGTCTTGTATAGGTTGGTCTTGCTTTTTTGTGTTGCAGCATAACACTTTTTCTCGACAATGGCCAGTTTCATTTGATTTAAAGATTGGTTCACTTGATCTAATTCACAATTGTTAAAATAAAAAGGGCTACACTTACATATTCTTTATATGCGACGGCACCAACTAGTTTCGAGCCCTTTGCAGGGTCATCTTCAGGATGAATGAAACTGTCTCACCAGTGACAGATAGCAATTGAAATTGAAAAAAAAAAATATTTAGATTTTGAAAAAAAAAAAATTTCAAAACCCACTAGCACTGTAACTAGTAATCAAAGATCTTCTCCATTAATAGTTAGGTCTGACCTTACCCATTAAATGTCACTAAATCTTTTTTTTACGTCATGAAAGACAGTGTTAGTGAATGTGTTGTTGACACTGTCAATGTTTTGTTTTAGATTAAAAGAGGTTTCTGAGCGCTGGAACCGATATGGGACAGGGGCTGGATCGTCAGCGCTCAGCACACTGCGTGGTGTGCGAGCCGTGACCGCCGGCCCCGCCCACATCGCTTGCCTACTTGACGACGGCACGATATGCCGCGCCGCATTCTCCATCATCCCCGACAGGCTTGACTTGAGCAAAGCGGACGCCAGTAAGAACGGTGGGAATGGAGGAGGGGGAAGTGGAGGCGGTGGGACTAGTGGGGGGAAACAAGGCGGCAGCAGTGGCGGCTGCGGCTCTAGACAACAGCCGCGAACTAGGGCTCGCATCATGAGGAACTCAATTCGTGCTGCACCCAGTTCACAAGGTATAACTTGAGTGATGAGTGATCTTAGCTAGATTGCGATTCAGTTAATGTAAACACTCTGTAAACTTGCATATTTTTTAAATTGACGTTTTAGGATCTACGAGCCGTGCTACTGGTGTAATTATAGGCGCATCTAGCTCCGGACGGGTCGTGTCTGTTCCGGCGCCATTTGTGCCTGAAGATTTGGTAACGCAGGCTCAAGTTGTACTTCAAGGCAAAAGTCGAAGTCTCATTATACGAGAATTACAGGTGAAGCTTTCAACGTATTTTTTTTAATATACTGTTATGCTCCTATTTTGTTCATAGTGTTACTGCTTAACGTTCGCATTGGAAATTAAGAGAAATAAATGTTAAACAGCGTACAAACCTGGACGTGAACCTGGCCGTGAACAACTTGCTGTCCCGCGATGATGAGGAGGGCGAGGAGCCAGAGGGCGGCGAGGGTGGCGACGGCTACGTGCCGGAGGATCTCATCTCGCTGCTCGACAGTGGCTTCCATGCCACGCAGCAGGACCACTCCGTCATCATCGACGCCGATGCGATGTTCTCCGAGGACATCTTCGGGTACGCGACTATCAGAAGGTATACCTGTCGTGCTACGCTCCTTGCCTCTTCTCCACCACCCTTAGCGAACATAGAACTCAAGCCCCTATCTAGCACGCTGACAAGCTTATGCAGTTTCTGTTTTGTGTTGTTTTGTAATTGGGTGTTGTTTTTTTGTAGTTGTATGTATGTTGTAGTTTATATGTCCAGATTCTAAAAAGCCTCAAGAACAGTTCAAAGTCAGCGACATAATATACAAAGAGCCATTTATCATGTAAAATATAGTAGGTTAAAATCTATCTGGACATATAAATAGAAAGAATATTAAATGTACTAGTTTTAATGTAAACAAAATGGCAGTCGTAACGGCGGTGGCGGCAGCGGCAGTGGTGGGCGCGCCGGTGCCAGCCGCGAGGGCAGTAGCTCCACGCAGGAGCGCCCTTCAGAGTTTAGCAGGTGGCGCGATCGCCAGTACTTCGGCCCCAGGAGGTGGCTCGAATCCGCTCTAAGAGATACATCGTGGGATAAAGATGGAGGTATTTGTCAAAATGTGAAAAAAATCATATAATCATTTGCAACCATATTAACAAAATAATTATTTTTTATATTTCAGAGTCTACTAGAAATATAATTTGTTAAAATGTTCAATTTTTTTTACCCATGCTTAGATGAGAATCCTTCACAATATTCATACATTTAACTACTGTTTGTTGATTGATTGAATGTTTGAAGTTGACAACAAGAAAAAAGATTCTGCAATGAGCGCGTCGCCGCTGTGGGTGTCCGAGGAGTTGGAGTATTGGGATAGCAACATCCGCTTCACGCACATCGCGGCCACCTACAGTGAGCTCATCGCTATCTCCAGCCTGGGCCAGCTGCACCAGTGGCGCTGGGCTGACGCGCATCCCTACCAGCGCAATGACGTATGTACATCACCTTTCAATTAAATACGTTGCACCACCAACTTAGGTTATCCTCCAGGCACCTCACTGGGGAAGTATAGTGAGTAGATGACCGACAAATTAATACCGTACATGGCATTACCCTATTTAATTTTTACCATTATTTTGTAAAAAAAATTATGGTTATCGGATTTGGAGTGGAACAAAATCGTTTTGTTGCAGTGCTCG